GAGCCACCAAATTTCAGTTCATATAGTGGAGGTGCAGCAGCAGCAGTCATTAATTGTAGAAGTTCTTCTTCTTCCCTCTTTCATTTTAGCATCAGACGGTGTTGACTTCGAGTGACTAAATCCAAAAGGCGATTGATACGGAGGTAACTGTAAGAGTATTTTCCAGCTAATTGGGTACATCAGATTGAAGTTTTCTTTCTTGAAGTAAGGATATGGTTTCTGGAAACAGAATTTTGTTTATTCAACGGAGTTTTCTGTTTGTTGTTTATCTCTTGCTCATTTGAATAATTTGTACTGCTAAATTAACTTAGTGTTCCCAAAATATCCTTCATTGGTCGGAAATTGAAAAGGAAAAATAGTTCGGAAGATTAAATTGATTAAAAAAAATCATAAAAGATGAATTAATTTTAGTGTAAAAATTTAGGGACCAGGATGGCAAATTTCCTGCATATTCCATTACGTAACAACCTGCATTAGAATGCACTAATTAAAAGTCTTATCGTCGCTACTTATCTAAACCTGTATTAGCATGCATAAATGTTGCAATAATAAACTTTACTCATGTATCCTATCCACGGATAATATTCTATATCCCCGTCCATTAATCAATAGATCAGCAATTCGTTAAGTATAATAGGACGACAACCAATGTTGGTGAGGCTAATTCAGTATACACTCCTGAGATCATTCCACCTGCAGTTGTTAATGTGACAGTAGCTGAGTACACTTGCAGATTCTCAAAGATGAAAGAGAAGTTGACATATGAAATCACATTTAGCCGATCAGCATCGGCTAATAATACCATGTCTCAAGGATCTCTTAACCGGAAATCGGCAAAATACTCAGTCAGGAGCCCAATTGCTGCAGTTAAGGGTGGAAGCTGGGCAGAAGTTCCTGCAGAAGAGAGACTGGAGATTGTACTATTAATCTGATCTTTAGATTTTTGGTTTTGATAGTAATTCTTGGAGGTATATTCCAATAAATAATACACAATAGTCATCACTCGTTGACAGATTCTGTCTATGTTGTTTATTTTCTCTACTGGTGGTGGTATGAATGCTTATACTACGATAAACTTTGTCAAATTTTGGAGTGGATAATTTCTAGAAGTGGAAATTAACATTACAAGCCATACAGGCAAAAATGAACTCTAAACACTGAATTAACAGGGAAGGTTACTGAAGATTTGAACGCTAGAAGGCTTAAATTTTATGGGAGAAAATTAGTTTTGTGGAGTAAAATTTGTAGCAAGCAAAGATTTTACATGTCTTAGGTCCTCAAGTGTGGACATTCCTTAAAACACGATCTGTATTAATGCAAATGCGCTTATTGCCACATGCAACGTAGCACATTCTCGACTGCACTTGGACTTCAAATTGAGATTCACCTGAAACAATTGATTGATTAGGCCAATCAGTTGCTGGTTCTGTGTCAGATGAAATTTTTTCCGACCCCATATACAAGCTTGGTTGAAGTATGAACCTTTTTTCCTGTATTTTTAAGAAAAGAAAAATACTTTGGGCGTCAAGTGCACACATCTTTACTTGTTCACGCGTGGACTAGGAACAAGATTACACCTAACTTGGAGGAAGAAATGCTTATTTTTCTCCATGTGGAAAGATAGAGATGGCAAAGGTGCTACAGATTGAGCAAACCTATTTGTAAAGCCATTAGGCATTACGAATCAATCCACAAACTAATTAACACGCCAATCCTCACCATCATTTTCCCCAGTCGCAGAAGTCAATTCTGTTTCTAGAATTCGAAAGTAGTTCCCTGGAAAAATAAGTAACCTACTCCTTAATCCACACTTGGCTTCCACAATCTCTAGTGGAAGATATATAGGTGGCAGCATTCCTCATTGCGTCTGCCCTCAGGAGTCAGGACCCCTGCTATAAATACCCCTTTGTCCATACCACAACTTCACAATACATACTCAGCGTATTCTCATTTCCTGGCTAATACTGTAGTATAGATTAATCCATTTTTCTGCAATTAGCAATACTATAATTATTGAAAAAATGACTTTTGCACTCAATCACTGCTGCATTTTCCTCTGCATATTGGTACTACTGCCAGTTACCTGTTACAGCGGTGATGTATTCTTATCCGCTCGGGCAACTTTTTATGGTAGTGCTGGTGCCTTGGGGACTCCATGTATGTAACTGATTTCCATCTATCCTTACCAAGCATATGCAGTTTATATAATTCTAGAGTATGAAATAGCACCACTTAGTATGACTGTCTTGTGATTTTGCCACATTCAAGCACTCGTTTTTACGGGACTTTTATGTTCTTTTCAGTTAATTATGATCCTAAATCCTTGTTTCTTTGGTTCCACTAATCAGCCGGAGCTTGTGGTTTTGGAGAATATGGTAAAACAGTCAACAATGGTGAGGTTTGTGGTGTCTCCAAGCTATACCAGAATGGAACTGGCTGTGGCGCATGCTATCAGGTGAATTTTAAACTTCAAAGCCAGTTCAGTCTCACTAGTATAACTATCAATCGATTAGCTCCTCAGTTACCATATCATTGACGAGGTTATAGATAAACCAAAAAAATGAAAGATGCAAAAAGGGGTGTGGTTCAGATGGACTGCCTTCTAAATTTTAGCTTAGTAAGGCTGAATGTGAAGCTGATTATTACTACAAGTAGGTGAATGCTTGTAGCTTACAACAATTAATGTAGGTGAGGTGCAAACATCCGCAATATTGCAATGAGGAGGGAACGACGGTGGTGGTGACAGACTTTGCAATAGGACACGACACAGATTTTGTCCTAAGCTTTGAGGCCTTCGTAAAATTGGCACGTACAAACATGGGTAGACTGTTGATAGCACTTGGGCTGATTGATGCAGAATACAAAAGGGTTCCTTGCCAATATCCAGGGACCAATGTCAAGGTGAAGGTTCATGAGAAAAGCAGATACCCTGACTACCTTGCCATTGTCATCCTGTATCAAGGCGGCGAAAGTGACGTCACAGCAGTTGAAATCTATGAGGTACCACTCCAATTACATTATCAGATTAAACTAAATTATCTGACTATGATAAAAACACTTGAATACTGAAATTACAAAAGCTCTGTTTGATTCTTCATTCATTTGAGCACAACTGCCTGTCAGATGGATTAAGAATTTTGGCCAACTAGGCACGGTTTTGTCAATTAAGAACAATTTGAGAGTGGATATTATATAAATATCTACCAAGTAACACTTAAAGTCAAACACAATCAAAAGGGTTCTGCAAAACAAGTAACCAAAAGGTGCATGAATCAAGTTGCACTCTCGCACTTTGAAGATGAAATAAGGTATTCAGCTGAATGAATCGATACCTCTGGATGCAGGAATCCAGCAAGAAATGGAAGGCCATGAGGAGGGCCTTTGGAGCAGTATGGGACATATCTAACCCACCCAAAGGTGCACTTACCTTCAGGTTCCAAGCAAGTGGCAGCGCTGGAGTAAAATGGGTGGAGCCGAAAAAGGTTATTCCCAGTGAATGGAGGGCAGGGATTATCATTGACACGGCTGTGCAGCTCAACTGAAACTACCATACATATATATACATATCTAGAATCCACATATTTTATAAGGAATAAGATCTATTACTATCAAGCTACTATAGTTTTAGTAGTCAGTATCTGCCTCAGCTCAGGATGGAATATCTGTACCTTTGTACCGAGGCGATTATATATGAATAAGGCGTTTTTTTTTTTCCATAAAAGATCCTTCACATTTTGGTTTAGCAGAATGATGCAGCTAAATTAAAACGCCAAAAGCATTGACCACTTCTGCAGTTCTGCTGATCTTGACAAACTGAAACCTCATTCCATACTACCTTCCTTAGATCTTAGTAACCAAATGTATTGAACAACACCGTATCATCCATCACGTACATGGATTTCTGTGAGGATCAGAGCATTGCAGAGTAATTCACTGTAATACAATCTGAACATGTGATCACATTTTATAGATGGAACACAAATCTTAATTCTACGTACAACCAATGGACAGAACACAAACAAGCACATTTCCTCTGCAAAGAAAAAATAATGACAGATATATCTGTCCCTGTTACTCTTCTTCATTCGTGTCACGGACAGATAGAGAGGTTAGCCCTTCAGTCGATGGTCTCATTTCCACCTTCTCCCAGGCGCTATTTTTTCAAGAACCGGCAGAAGTGCAGATGCAGTGATTAAGAGGCTCTTCAAATTGCTAGTTTAATAATATATCAAGGCCATTGTGTTCCTTTCACAATATCAGTAAATCCACACTTTATTTTATTTTTTCTCTCAGGCAAGACCTTGCAAGTGGGAGGGAGAAAAGAGAAGATTTGTGAGCTCAACATGAAACATAATTTTTTGTGTGTACTTGGTGCGGCTTTACTCAAGCTTTGAAAAAAAAAAAAAAAAAGTCCAGTAAAATCTCCAAGGCAATTTCTAGAAATAATGCGAAAAAAAAGTCACAAACTACAGTGTCGCCGCACGTCATAATGTATTTTTTAAAAAATAATGTATTTGCATTCCATCAAAAATAAAAAAATAAATGGCAATTTTAAAAAATTATGTATTCACATTCCAGTCCCTAGGGACTAGAATGAAAAATTAAAAAATAAATGCGTCGTCGCACTTCTTGCGGCAACCTTGTACTAGATGTTTACCCATCAAAATATGGTACATAAGAAGAATGTACCAGACGTTTGTTTATACATCAAAATATGGTACTTTTCTACAAAACTACCAGAGTCAAATATATAACTTCAAAGTGATGTCATAGCATCCTCTTGGTCTAAAAAATCCAAGGGTTCAAACGCCACCTGCAACAAAAAAAAAATCCAAAGGTAATGTTATAACACCTCCTTGATTTAGTCAGATCTGCATGCCTACTAGTCCCTAACACATAAGAGTCTTTAAACTCCCCCTCCCTGTAGATTAGAATACAATAGATTATACAATTATTATCATTGTCGGAAAAAATATATATATATACAACTTCAATAAACATTTTTTAGAAGAATGTATACAAGCACCAACATTAGAATTGATCATTTTATAGGAATATTTAAGTTTCTTACTCAATCATTACCGCCATATGAGCGTGAAAGAAGCACATTACATCAAGCTGAATTTGTCATCAAGATGGTCAGCACTCAGGTTTCCAAAATTTGAAGGCAGAAGAACGACAATTTATAAGGAGAGCTCATACATGCAAAATGTCATTCAGTTTTTGTAGTCCCAACTCTCTGCGACTAGAAGCTTTCTAATACATCCTACCAATACATTCTGTAGAACCACAATAGCAACTCTTTTCCTTGATATTTCCTTTGGAATCATGAACCTGACCCACACCATAATTGTAATGGTAAGTTAGCTCCTGCAATGGAGGAATGTTGTCCGCCGCAAAAAGCATTACGTGGGGCACTCTTTTGTCAGCATGATCATAGAGCACATCCTGAGCATAAAGGTTGGGTGAACAACTATGATTTATGAACCTCCCGATATTGCCATACTTTGCTGCATCAATGGTATAGCCACCTTCTTCTACAGCTTCGCTTGAATTTCCTAATCCATCGGAATTGATTGAACCCTCGCTGTAATTCTTTCCAATGTCAAACAAATATTCGTCACTTCCTGCTCTTAGTTCAGCTTCCTTGTCCTCAAGAAGCTCCCCAGCATATTCACAAATAAAACTTCCTGAAGGAATAGAATACAAGGACCTTACTCCCCAGCCCCTTGACTTAGTCTTGAAGATCTCAAGCTGAATTTTGATACCATGCTGGCTGACTCTGTTATAGCATGTAGGAGGGCATTTGCAATGAGGTCCACATTCAAAGACAAGAGGTTTTGCTTCCACTATAGCCCCATTACGATTATATGGGATCCCTCCTCCATTTCTTTGTGCACAATAGCATTTTCGAGAATCAGAGCATTTACCAGTACAATCACAGCCTTTAGGAGAAACTAGGCGGAACCAATCAGGATATTTCATCTTTCTAATGTAATTAAACTGTTGGGGTTTCTCACTGTCAATTGTGTTCACAGCACATACGGGAAATGTCTCTTGTCCCCCTGCAATGTCATCAATGCAAACCCCCTGCCGCACTCTAGATTTTTTGGACTTCTTTACCTCTTTCCATGCAAGCTCCGGCTGGCCTGGGATTCTCTTCAATTCAAACATAAACACTAGTTTACCATATGTCCCAGTTTCTTCCCTACACTTCTCCACAGTATACAAGCCATCATAAATGTATGACGTGACTACCTTAGCCCTTGAGTCCAGCGAATCAGAAGCCTTAGTCTCTTTGGATCCACGAATTACACGCACAGGATTTTTAGTGGAGATACAATTCCACAATCCCAAGTTACCTTTTTCAAGCTTCTGGTCCTCCGGTTGCTTATCTTTGCCAACTATATTTCCTCCTTGCCCAGAATATATTAGGACATCAGCATTCTCCATATCATCATCATATGCCCCTGATGCAACAATACTAGTTGCAACAAGCACTCCATTGTGCTTCATGGAATCTATGCCAGCCTGGTATAAACGATGAATCCCAACAATGGCAAGCTCCACTCTGTACTGGAACTCGTCACCCACTTCAACTCCTGGAACTGCCCCCAAATATTGTTTGCCAGTATTAACTTCTTTTCCTTTCTCTTTTATAATCTTTGCTGCTAGAAGATCAATCCTCCTGGTTTTCTCTGGCCGCTTCAATGTTGTATCTTCTTCCGGCCTCGACTCTTCTCCCTGCAAGATTTTTCTACACAATGCTTGAAACAGGCGCAGGGTCTCTCTAACTCTATTACGAGCATCACCATTGCTTGAACTTGGACCAAAAGGAGGCAAATTCACATCAACCCTGGAACCAGTAGTAGAACCTTTAGGTGACTTATCATCTTCTGATCTATAAATTCCCTCATCCCTAACAATTGCACCAAAATTACCATCTGCACCCTTGCGAACAGAAACAGCAACCTTCTTCAGAGATGATCTTTCTGAAGACTCAGTATTGACAATGGTTTTCTTAGCAAAAGCTTTGGCCTTGCTTCGCCATGTTAAATTGCCTTCATTAACCTTGCCTCGGGTTTTTTCAACACTAGAACTTAGGGGCACTTTACCCAGCCTCAAAGGACAATTTGGTGCAGCATGCAGACCAGTCACTGTTGCAGGTTCATCTTCATGTCCTGAACCAGTGCTATCATCCAGAGCCATTCTATCAAGGGTGTTCTCACCTTCAAACAGATCAGGCGCCTTACTTATAGAGCCTTGACCTTCCACGGCTTCCTTAAGGATTGTAGCATCAGAAACATCCTTGGGCAGAGACACCACTCCTCTTGCTTGACTTCCCCGGATATCATCAACCTGAACATTTCCTTTTGCTGGTTTGCAACCAAAAGTGATTGGTTCTTCTAGAGCAGCGACTTCAACACCAGTCTCCACTTTTTCCAATGTGTCCTTTTGTACCTTAGCAGGCAATATCTCCACAGATGTCCTGCTATCTGCACCATCCTTCAATGCCTTGCTATCCGCACCATCCTTCGACACTTCCATCATCCTCTTTTCCATATTAACCTTGTCCATCCCCAGCGAACTCTCCCCAGAAGTAATTTTTAGGCTCTCCTGCATAGACGGTACAGGAGCATTTCTTCCACAGAATGGAGGAAAGTCACGAATAGCTGAAACTCTTCTTGTGCGGAATTTGTTCTTTGGACTCGGGACAGAGCCATCTTTAATAGAAACCTCCCTGTGAACCATGTGATCAATTTCAACAGTAGGTTTTACTACATCTTCACCTATGCACCTCACCAAAGTCGTAATTTCTTTCTTGTCCAATTCCATCACTGCTGCCTCAGCCTCCCTTCCATTTACCTCTCCCTTTGAGGGTCCCACCAAAATGGTTTTCCTTTCAACCTCCTTCATCAACTCCATTCCTGCAGGCTTTACATCCAACGCCATTTTCTTGACCCCATCATCCAAACTATCAGTAAAGCCAGCCACCACTTTTTCCACCAACTTATCCAGAGATCCATTCCCTTCCACCCCATATAAACCCCCTCCCAGTTCATGAGACTGAGTCTCCACCTGACTTTCATCTTTAACACAATTGGCCTCTAAAGCTGCAGGAGCATTATCACTGCTCACCAAAACCCCATTTTCTAGATCTTCCAAATTGGACAGCTTTCCAGATTGATCAGTTTCCATCTCATTTTTAGTCTTGATTAATTCATGAGCCTGAGTCTCAACCTTAGTTTCACTATGAACGCCATTAGTTGATGTCCCAATTCCATTCGCATCCACCCTAGCTGGACTTTTCATCCTTTCATGAGGTTGATTCTGGACCTCAGTTTCAATTTTAACACCATTAGGCTCTCCAACAGCAATATCACTAACTTGCAACGCACTATTGTCTTTGGCTTCTAAATGAGGCTGAGTATTTGGACCACACATAGGAGGAAAATCCCGAACAGCTGAAACCTTCCTGGACTTGTAGTTAGATGCATTTCCAGAGTTCGAAGGGTGATACCCACTCTCCAATGACCGCTTGTTTGGGTTCCCGTCAGACAATCCACCATTCAACAAGCACACCATCTCAATCACTAGAAAAAAGAAACACTCTTCTGAGTTCTGAAGCAGAAAAACCAAGCAAAAGGAATAACATAAAAATCTCAATAACATTGAAAGAGTACGAAAATTAGGGCTCAAAAGGAACAAATATATACCAACACCCCCCCCCCCCGGGACCCAAACAAAAAAAAAGGTTGAGGCTTGAGGAATTAGAGGGTTCAATTTCCCCCTTTGCCCTCTTGAACGCCAGCCATTCCTTGCTCAGAACAAAAGGGGACAATTCACTGACAACAAAACTTGTATGCTAGAATGTATCTCAAAAGAGGGTCAATACTTCAAATTAGTACCAATTAAGGAAAAAAAAACCAACAAATACCGAATAGGGTTTTTTCCCCCCCATTTTCCCTTTCGGTTTACCACCTAGCTAAGAAAAATGTAAATGTATTTTTAAAAAAATCCACAATTTTGGGACCAATATAATTAAAGTTACTAAGTTAGCTAACATATACAGCTACAGACAAAAAGGAAATAAAGCAATTTACAGCTTCATATGCATGCAGTAGACAATTGAAGCAAACGAGATTAAACTAAATTTAGAAAACAAAAGGCAAAAATACCTGATTAAGCACAAAATTGAGCTACCCACCAAGAGATTTCCACCGGTTAATTGGTCAGAAAACTGCCAAAAACAGTCCAGAAACAAATCAAGGGGACAACATAAAAGGTCATAAAATAAGACTAATAACAAGGAAAAAAACTATTACACCAAAAAATTCACGAATACATAATTTACGAAGAAATCTCCACAAATTAAGCCTTGCATGTAACACTCACCCAAAATCTAGAAATCTTAGAAAAGAAGAAGAAGACAACGAAGTAACAACTGTTACCTTTGATTTCGCTTCAGCTTTTCATGTGAAATCTATAGAGGATTTTGGATTTTTTGTAGGAGGCGCTAATATTTTGGGATTCTATTTGATTTAGCAGCGGTTAATTTCATTTCTGTTTTTTCCATTTCGGTGTTCTTTTGGCTGTGTGCAGAGAAGAGTGAGGTGACGAAGATGAAAGAATAATTCTGGGAGGATTTTGGTTTTTTTATGACTTACTTTTGGAAATTGTGAACAGTAAAAAGATTGGCATTTGGGGAAACGGAACGGGGAGAGTGAAGACGTGTCCAATTTGTTCCGTCGTGGCGCGAACGAGCTTGGAGAGGGCGGTTCAACATCGTTGGCCGGGGCCTAAGCTCGGGGTGTAAAGTTCAAGTACACTCATGAGTCAACGCTACCATAACAATAGATTACGGATTTAAATGCCATCAAGCTACACATTATGGGAGGTACAAGCTTTGATGCACATAATAATTTTGTATGGTATGCTTTTTAAAAACTTCATTTAATTTAATCTCACATAATCTTGATCCATAAAATGATTATTTGGTGAAAGTTTTTCAAAATATCCCCAAAACAAGCCTCCAAATTAATGCTTAAGTTGGGATAGGGATTGTAATAGGGGCGGATACCCGCTCCGCCGCAGGAGGAGTCATAGGGTGGGCGCGATTTTAAATGGGACGAAGGACGGGAGGATGAGGGGCGGGAGGAGTCATAACGCAGATGCGATTTTAAATAGGGCGAGAGACATAGATACCCTCACCTGTCTTCGTTACTAATATAAAGTTAAAAAAATAAATATCTATATAGTTTTATACATATACGCATTATAACTACATGTTAATAACGTGTGTACGTATGTATGCTTGTGTATCATAATTTATATGATAGAAGTCATTATTTGATTGTTTTTACTTTACTTCAATTTTTTTTTTACATATTGTAAGTTGTTTAAATAAATATGGATGGTTATAAGGCGAGGGATGGAACAAGGATAAGGGAAGATTTTAGAGCACGGAGCAGAGATAGGGACGAGGGAGGGATACCCAACCCCGTTGCCATCCCTTAGTTGGGATGCCATTAGGATGAGGTTTAGATCTAGATCTAATTATAATTTATATGAGATAATTTAGGCATACAAACAATATAAGTGGAGACTCAAATAATTAATTGGGTTTGTTTGGATACCTCAATTATCTCAAATAATAATTCGCTTGTATCATAGACACATTTTCCAACCCACCTTTTTATATTTTCAACCACCTTTTTATCTCACATACATCACATCATAAAATGTGCTACAGTAATTATTCCAAATAATATTTCAAATAATACACTATCCAAACACTCCCACTAGCGTTTTTGACACACTCAATGTATGTACATATTTGTTTAATGCATATATTGTTAGTATAAGCTTGAAAAATGTTTTTCATTTTTGTGTGTGTCTTAGCAGTTTGAAGGAAGTTTTCTACTTATACTAAATATCACTAAGACAAAAAAAATTGAGAAGTAGAGAAGTGAGTAAAAAAAAGAAAAAAGAACAGAGGTGCATCAATTAAAGTACTGAAGAATGATATTTTAGACATTTTATGTGATAAAAAATTTTAACACAAAAGAATATTCACACTTTATATAAAGAGGGATATGAAGACACATTAAACACTAAATGACTTTAATGTTAACTATTTGTTTGCAAGGCCTACCAAATTTTTAAGCCTTCCAAATTTTTAAACTTTCCCTAATTTTCAGTTTTGACCATACAATGTTCAAAAGGAAAGATCATGTCCCAGAACTGTTGACTATTTAGATTCACTCGTTTTCAAAAATACATATGCAAATAACACTAAAAAAATACCTAAGATAGAGTTAAAATTGCCTAAAAACACAACAAAAACAACAAAACATAGCAATACACACTCTATCAAGACACAATTAAGCACTAAATGACTTTAATGTTAACTATTTGTTTGCAACAACAAAACATATCAAAACACACTTAAACACTAAATGACTTTAATATTAACTATTTGTTTGCAAGGCCTACCAAATTTTTAAGTTTTCCCTAACTTTCAATTTTAAGCATACAAAGTTCAAAAAGAAAGATTATGTCCAAGAACTGTTGACTATCTGGATTCATTTGTTTTCAAAAATATACTTGCAAATAACATTAAAAAAAAACCTAAGATACAGTTAAAATGGCATGAAGCACCACCAAAAAAAAAAAAAACAACAACAACAGCAATAACAACAAAACATATCAATACACGCTCCATCACCATTCCCTTTGTACGCCTTTCCTTAATCCTTGCTTAATTCCCATTGTCCTTAACCTTCTCCCTTCTTGCACTGAAGAGCCGAGGAGGGCCGAGGTGAGCGCGCACAACACTCTTTCCCAATCCGAAATTCTCTTTATTGCGTCTCTTTCAATCTCGTAGTGTAGCGCCTTTTTCTTTCACACCACCTCATGGGTAGGAGATTAAAGGTTCTAGCTTTGTCTCCCACCACTTGCCATTACATGTGACTTGTCACTTTAAATCCATACTAGTGTGTAGTGTGAGGATGGTCATCTCGGCTCGCGTAAGACGAGGCCATTCTTCGCTCCAGAATTGTGGTACTCACGCTGTAGCCACCTCGACTTCAAATCACATATTGATAACCGAGGTGATCCCGCCTTAGTTGTCACCTCGAGCTATCTTCTGGCTAATCACAACCGAAGTCATGACCAAGGACCTCGCGGCCAAACAGCGAGGGATATGACCCCTGACACACTGATGACCTCTGACACACTGGTGATGTCTGACTCTGATAACTATTTTGACACACTGCCTCCTGCACAGGGTAGTCAAATCCATGCGATACGCTGTCTCCATCAGATGTCTAGGGACCTGGACCTACAGTCCCTCCCTCCAAATTGTCTCCTATAAATACTGGGACCTTCCACTAGAAAAGGGGGACGGATCTCTGGTAAAGTGACAAAGAAATTTCCAGCAAGTCTCATACATTGATATCTCATTCCGAACTAACTTAAGTTTCGGAGCTACATCGGGGGACCCAGCCCCTCTTCTTATAATCTAAGCAGGTGATCCGGGTGAAGTGGTTTCTCTGGACAGGAGCACCCACAAGCAACCCGAGGCTACTAGTCCGGTCAAAAATCACCTCTTCAATTGGCGCCATCTGTGGGAACCCGAGAATATCTTAGAATGAAGCCCACGCGTTCTAGGAGAAGAAAGGCTCTCACCATTGGAGCTGATTCTAATGCTGCAGCTCAACAGGAAAATGTCTCAGAAGGACAAGAGTCCCCAGAGACTCGGTCTGCAAACGAAAAAATCATGACCCGTATGACTGAGTTTGTAAATGAGAATCTTAACATCTTCGAATAGTTGGGTAGATATTTTAAGAGGCAAGGCAAACAAAAGGCCAAGTCCTCTAAAAGGAAATCAGATGGGTCCCCCAAAGGTCCATCCGATGAAGAATCCGAAGGAAGGCACTCTATCAGGAGCACCCCGAAGCAAGCCTCTTCTAAGGCTGCTTCCAGAATTGCCTCCATAACTAAGGCATTCTCGCGGGGTTTGCTGGGGAAGCGAGTTGAGGAAGAACCTCGGCATTTGGGAAGGCCAGGAGTGGATTACATGAGAACTCCACCTTTCACAGATGACATCAATGAGGAAAGGCTTCCCCCGAACTTCAAAGTCCCCTCAATACCTTCTTACGATGGCCGAGGTGATCCTGAAGACCATATTCATGCCTTCATCTCAACTTTCCGATTATATTGCATTCCCAACCCAATCATCTATCGGGCTTTTCCAGTATTCCTCCAAGGGATTGCTTGAAAATGGTTCTGGGGTTTAGAACCTAGGAGCATATCCACCCTAGGGGAACTAGTGGAGAGATTTTTTCACCGATTTGTATCCTCCAGACTGACGACCAGGACCTCGGCTTACCTGCTGACCATACAGCAGAATCCGAGAGAGTCACTTCGGTCCTATGTACAAAGGTTTCACGAGAAAAGCATGCAAATACCTGATCCCAATGAGCAGGTAACAATAGTTACCTTTACCCACGAGGTCGTTGCGGGGGTGTTTAACACTGGGATACAAAAGAAGTATCCTCGCACGCTCCAGGAGCTCTGGTTGAAGATCAAAAAAGGCATACAGGCCGAGGAACTCAAAAAAGAGGTCCAAAAAGCTCGCTCAAGAACTGATTCCCGAAGGAAGAAGGAAACCAACCGAAATGAGACAGGTACCGCTAGCGGTTTCCAAACCCCCAACCGGAATCGCCGAAATGTGTTTGATAGAATAGCCAAGGGGAAGTCACATATCCTTGATTCTGAGCTAACTCCTTTAAACACCACCCGATCCCGAGTGCTCTCCGTAATGGAGCAGAATAACCTCGAGCGTGCCCCCCCCCGAAAATGTACGGAAACAGGGAGAAGAGGAACTCCAACCTCTACTGCCTGTACTACCGGGACATCGGACACGAGACGGAAGACTGTAACTACCTCAAAAGAGAAATAGAGTACCTAATCAAGCAGGGGCACTTGAAGCAGTTCATCCACCAAGCTGGAGGTCGTCAACGAACTGATTCTCTTCACGAGAGCCGAGGTGATCAACAGCGAGATGACTGGCGGAGGTCGAGAAGTAACTGCCGACCCCCTGAGCATCCTAGGGAGACGAGAAGGTCTCCCCGAGATGGGTTCTCGGGTCATGAGTTAGGATACGGGCCAAACATTGCCGGGATCATCAACACCATTGCCGGAGGTCCGACTGGAGGAGACAGCCAAAACTCCCGAAAGAGAACCTACAGGCAAGGTAACCCCGACCAGGTCGAGCCGAGCTCTTGCTTATCCGAGGTGATATCGTACGGTCCCATTGACCCAGTCCCCGCTGCTTCCAGCAGTCATGAACCCCTGGTGATTGAAGTGTTCTCCAACAACTACATAGTTAAGAAGGTGTATGTTGACCCAAGGAGTTCGGTGGACGTCATGTATCTCCGGACTTTTGACAGCTTGAAGCTAACCAAGGAGTAGCTAACCCACGTGAGGACCCCCCTGGTAGGGTTCGGGGGACATGTAGTGCACCCTGAAGGGATGGTCACGTTAATGGTGACTGTGGGACATCACCCCCGCTGTCGTACAATTCCCGTCAACTTTATTGTGGTCAAAATTGACTCTCCCTACAACCTACTCATGGGCCGACCTACACTTAATACTCTGCGTGCAGTATATTCCACGTATCATCTAAGTTTCAAATTTTCAACTTCAGCGGGCATCGTCGAGGTGAGTAGTGATGTTTGTGCGACGTGAGAGTGTTATCTCGCCACCCTGCAAGCCGCCTCTTCCTCGACCTCCGAGTTGAGGTCCGAAAGAAGGTTCAATATCCTCTCAATCGACTGTATAGATCCTCAGCAGACCGGGAAGTCGAAGAGGCTGGAGACCGGTGATGAGGTGAAGGATGTCCTCTTGGACCTCTCAAGGCCCGACCAGATTGTCCGCGTCGGCATCCATCTGCCTGACACAATGAAGAGGTAGATGGTGGACATCCTTAGGGAGTTTCGGGATATTTTTGATTGGGTTGCCGAGAAAGTTAGAGGAGTGCCACACTACCTCATGGTGCACGAGTTGAATGTTGATCCTCAAGCACGTCCAATTGAATAAAAGAGAATGCACTTCGACCCCGAGCGCAGTAAAGCGGTAGGTGAGAAGGTGGACAAGCTCCTACCTGCAAAAATAATCAAGGAAGTGCAATACTTGACCTGGTTATCCAACTCAATCATGGTCAAAAAGGACACGGGGGGCCTGGAGAATGTGCGTCAATTTCACCGACCTGAATAAGGCCTGTCCTAAGGACTGTTACCCATTGCCTAGAGTCGACGCCCTAGTGGACTCGGCGATGGGCTACGAAATCCTCTATTTCTTCGATGCCTTCAAGGGGTACCATCAGATCGGGATGAGCGAGGAGGACCAGGAGAAGAAAACCTTCTATACAGATCAAGGTGCGTACTGTTATACCTCCATGCCCTTTGAGTTGAAGAACGCCGGAGCCACATATCAGCTCTTGGTCAACCGAGCTTTTAAATCTCAAATAGGCTGACATGTCGAGGTGTACGTGAACGACATCCTCCTCAAAAGTTAGAAGACATCCACTTTCCTGTCCGACCTGAAAGAGGTCCTCGGGGTTCTCGGAGATACCCAGATGATGCTGAACCCCAAAAAATATGTTTTCGGGGTCATTTCGAAAAAATTCTTGGGATACCTCGTTTCGTGGCGGGATATAGAAGCAAATCCTGACAAGTTGAAGGCGGTCCAGGAAATATCTTCATTTCGGTGCATCCGAGACGTGCAAAGGCTTATAGGGCGATTGGCAGCCATGAACCGGTTCTTGTCGCAGTTCGCTTCTAAGGCACTGCCCTTCTTCAAGGTGTTAAAGAAGGCTGACAAGTTCTCCTGGACAGAAGAATGCCAACAGACCTTTGAGCAAATGAAGGAGTATCTGCACCACCTCCCAACACTTACCTCACATCGGCCTGGGGACAAGCTATACTTGTACCTGTCTGCCGCCGATGGGGCTGTAAGTATCGCATTGATACTGAAGAAAGGTGTTCAGATGCCGGTTTATTATGTTAGTCGGGTCCTTCGAGAGTCCGAGACTAGATATGTTCAAGCAGAAAAGCTCGTGCTGGCCTTGATCCACGCAGCTCGTAAGTTGAAACCCTATTTTTTAGCTCACCACATCTGTTTGAGAACAGATTAGCCTCTCAGGCAGGTAATATCGCGGCCCGAAGAATCTGGTCATCTTACTAAATGGGTCACTGAATTGGGAGAATACAATTTATCCTACGAGCTCCGGACGGCCATCAAAGTTCAAGCCCTTTCGGACTTCCTAGCCGAACTCACTTTCAATGAAGTGAATGAGTCTACCTCAGCTTCTGCCAAGCCTCACCAATGGATCCTGCATGTGGACGACTCGTCTAACAACGAGGGTAATGGAGCAGGTTTGCTCCTCGAAAATTCTCAAGGAGAACTGTGTTCGTACGCCCTATGGTTTGATTTCACAGTCTTTAATAACGAAATCGAATATGAAACTGTCATCGCCGGCCTACAACTAACTCGTGGGCTCGGAGCTCGGCACATCTTGGTCAACAGCGACTCCCAACTCGTCGTGTGCCAGATACTTGGTAAATATGAGGCCAGAGAGGTGGTCATGCAGCGTTACCTCTCCAAAATTCACCAATTAACTGCACACTTCGAGTCCTTCGAAATTCAAAGGATATCTCGGTTGCAGAATAAGCGGGCTGATGCTCTATCCCGACTCGCTTCCACTTCTTTCTCTGACTTGAATAAAATGGTTTTCATTGAGGTCTTGGCCGAGCCGGGCCATTTAGAAGAAATCATATGCCCCGTTTATTCAGATGACACCTGGATGGGCCCGTTAGTTCGGTTTCTTGGACAAGGAAAGCTTCAGGAGGACCGAGCCGAAGCAAGGAAACTTCAGCGCAAGACAGCCCGGTATGCTCTCCAGCAAAACCTCTTGTACAAGAGATCTTACCTCGATTCATGGTTGCGGTGTATCACACCAGAGGAAGGGAAAAGAATTCTCCTAGACATACATGAAGGGATTTGTGGTGCCCACGTCGGCTATAGAATACTGGTTAAGAAGGCCCTATTACTTGGGTATTTTTGGCCGACCATTCGACGAGATTGCCAACTCCTGGTCCTTAGTTGCCCTTCCTGTCAACACCACGCCCCTGAGCACCACTAACCAACTAACCTTATGATCCCTATCACCTCGCATTGGCCATTTGACCAATGGGGCACCGATATATTTGGTCCATTCCCCAGAGCCCCCGGCAACTATGCTTATGTAGTAGTCGCAGTCGACTACTTCACCAAATGGGTCGAAACCGAGCCCTTGAGAAGCATAACTGGCTCAGTAGTCCAAAAATTCTTTTTAAAAAGTGTGGTATGCCGCTTTGGAGTGGTAATATCGGACAATGAAAAGCAATTCGTGGACAACCCTTTCAAAGGATGGTGTGAGAATCTTGGAATCAAACAGCACTTCATCTCGGTTGGACATCCCCAAGCCAATGGACAGGCCGAAAACTTCAATCGTACACTCCTCCACGGCCTCAAAATTAGGCTGCATTAGACCGGGTCATTTTGGGTAGAATAGCTCTCCAGTGTTTTGTGATATTACCGGACAACACCGAAATCCGCAACACAAGAGACCCCATTCTCCCTAACCTATGGGTCCGAAGCCGTGGTTCCTGTCGAGTTCATCACCCCGAATCCGCGCATGGCAGCCTTTGCTGCCGAGGTCAATGAGGAAGAAAGGCGAGTAGACCTCGACCTCGCCGAGAAGAAGCGCGACATCGCGGCAACTAAAGTAGCACTATACAAAAATATCCTAACTAGCTACTATAATGTTCGGGTCAAACACGTACGGTTCAGACCAAGAGACCTCGTGCTCCGAAAAAATTCGATCAGCCGAGCTGAATCTCAAGGCAAGTTAACTCCCAGATGGGAGGGACCCTATCGTGTTATTAAGTCTAGTCAAAATGGATGTTGTAAATTAGCTTACAGAGATGGTTCTCAGGTACCCCGGACTTGGCATGCTGAGAACCTCAAATTGTATCACCCATGAAGGGTATGTATCTATTTTTCATATTTACTGAAGTTATTTCTTCCTTGGTTCTATTTTATCCCAAGTAAAAAATAAGGGGACAAGTACAAGAGAAGAAGAAAAAAAGACAAACATGAAAGGGAAGAAGTCAATAGCATTAAAAAATAATAAGTGATTACAAAAAGTCGAGGTCCGGGATGATTCTAAGCAAAGCATCCAATACCTCGGCGCTTGGTTACAAAAATGATAAAAGGGTAGGAATGCTTTTTCCTGCCCTGGTGCCTTGGTCGCCCCCAGTCTCTTCAGCACTGGTGTTTTCTCAGCCGACCTCATCACCACCGGGCTCATCCTCTTCCAGGTCGAATTCAAAAAGCCATCGGTTTAATTCTGCTCAAACCTCAGCCAGGTCCTTCCCGGCTTGGATGCCCTGGGCACGCGGTCGCATAACTCCTTGGCATCTTCGTTGAAATTGAATTTATTTTAGAGAGACTCCAGTTGTTCAGAAGACAGGAAAGGAGATGCATCGTTGACGGGCGAGGTGTACCCAAACATGAAATTTGACAGAGTTAACTCGCCGAGATCATGAGTGAAAGTCTCGAATTTTCGGAAAGTTTCCACAGCCGAGGCGTCTGCCCTCTCTATGGCCTCCCGAGCTGATTGTTCATCTTGAGTCCTCCTGTCTTTTTCCACCTCCAGGGCTGTCCTTAAGGAATTGGTCGTGGCCTCGGCTTGCTCCAGGTCGATCACTACCTTGTTGCGTTCTTGTTAGGCCGCCTCTAACTTTTCTTCCAATTTGGAAATTTTTTTGTGAAGCTCAGAGGACGGCTGATAGTTTTCGACAAATTCGATGTAGTGTTGGGTCATCTCGACTAGGAAGGTCGTGGTGAAAACCCAGGAAACCGAGACATTTTGCATCAACTCGGCAGGAATGAGTTTCCTGGCATAAGTGCTGTCCATTGGTAGAACTGAATGTATCAGAAGCTCCTGAGCAACGAGGGAATTTTTGCAGCGGTTATTTACATTGAGATCCCACTCCGGACACCATTGCGCGCCGGAGTGCCTCTTATCCTCCCCGACTTTTTGGGCAGGCACGTGGTGAAGGTTGAATAATGACGATCCCATTACTGGAACTTCGGGAAGAATCGTCACACCTTGGTTGGGGAGGAGAAGATGCTATTGTCACGCCCTGAACGGTCACCCCCTTTGGAATGGCCGAGGTACGGGAACCTTCTCCCGTAATTATCACTGGAGAATTGCGGCTCGCAGTGGCCGCGGTCGTCTTCTTCTTCGGCCGAGTTGACGGCTCGGCCGTGTTCTTACGTTTCGTTGGCCTTTTGGCTATTTCAGTGGTGCCCGAAGTGATCAAATCGGAAATTCTCACCACTGCAAAGCATAAAAGTAGAGTTATTTAGAATCCAGGAAAAGTAAAAACAAAGCCATGAATGGAAAAATACAAGGTTTTTGAAGCCTAGTAGAGAAGAAAGGAGGATGTTCCGGGCTGATCAGAGCTCGATTGATCCCGCCGTTAACAAGGACTGCTTCGGGAAGAGCCCAGCAGTTGATCTTGAGACCCGACCCTAGGAGCTTCCGGAAGTTCTCCTCCTCTAAGTTTCCCATAGAGGTATCCTTAACCGGGGTGGGAGGCTTCCACCAGAATCCCCTTGGGAAATCATCAGCCGAGACGAAAACAAAATTGCGCTTCCAGTCCTTTATAGAAGTGGGGGCATCCACTACCAACTTGGGGACTTTGTTCCCGAAGTAGAACCACCCCTTCTCACTCCCACTATATTTTATGGTGTAACAGCGGCGGAAGAGATTGACGGTGGGGGTTATTTTCTGATATCGGCACAGCATTTGAAAGCCGACAAGGACCCAGACTGTATTGGGGGTGAGTTGAGTGATCCTAACCCCCCAATACCTCAGGCAATTTCGGAGGAACCAGGTAGTCGGCATCCTGAACCCGGCCTCTAACTGATCGGCGTAGATGGCCACCCTACCCCTTGACGGGAGTTCGGCTGACTGATCCGACCGAGGTGGATAAATGCTGTAGTTTCTCCGCCAAGGGTACTTGCGAACCAGCTCGGCTATCAATGTCTGACCCATGATACTGCTAAACATGGGGACCTGGCCGTAGTCAATGGATGTAAGTCTAGAGGGGTGGCTGGCTCTTGCACGCCCTCGTCCCTTGGTATTTCGTTGCAAAGGTCGTCATTGTAGAGGACTTCGATTTCTTCTTCGCTCTGTGCTTGGGGTGTCCCGGCCTGATTAGACGCTTCGACAGTTTCTCCTCTGGGCTCGGAGACAGTTCTCTCCTCGGAGGGGTCGGGCCTCTCCGTTTCGGTGAATCTTGTCCTCACCATCTCCTTATGTGTGCGGGCTGTTCTAGCCATAAGTAAAAGAGAAGGAGTGATAAACTTACTCTTAAAGGAAGTCGGAATTTTGGGGGTTGCCGAGGTGAAAATCTAGAGAAGATTTGTTCTCAGGTGATTAAAAACTTTTGCGACAAAAAGTGAAAGGGTGAAAGGGACCCCCTTATTTATAGGCAAGCGGTAGGAAACTGAAAGGACGGTATCCTTGAGATTCTCGAGAGGACACACTCTCTCCTCATTTATGAAGACGCTGCTCATCTGACCGGTGATTTCGCGTCTACCTATAGACTTTTCATTAAAGCTGCTGACCATCGCATCATCTTCCTTCCAGTCCCATCCACACACGATGACGTGTCATTATCGCAGTTCGCTCTCTGTAACCACCTGCAAGCCTCGGAAAGCAGTGAACGCATCTCTCTTCCCGAGGCTTGGGGGGTTTAGTGAGGATGGTCATCTCGACTCGCATAAGATGAGGCCATTTTTCGCTTCGGAATTGTGGTACTCACGCTGTAGCCACCTCAGCTTCAAATCACATATTGATAACCGAGGTGATCCCGCCGTAGTTGTCACCTCGGGTTATCTTCTGGCCAATCACAACCGAAGTCATGACCAAGGACCTCGCGGCCAAACAGCGAGGGATATGACCCCTGACACACTGGTGACCTCTGACACACTAGTGATGTCTGACTCTGATAACTGTTCTGACACACTGCCTCCTGCACAGGGTAGTCAAATCCATGCGATACGCTGTCTCCATCAGATGTATAGGGACCTGGACCTACAGTCCCTCCCTCCAAATTGTCCCCTATAAATACTAGGACCTTCCACTGAAAAGGGGGACGGATCTCTGGTAAAGTGACAAAGAAACTTCCAGCAAGTCTCATACATTGATATCTCATTCCGAACTAACTTAAGTTTCGGAGCTACACCGGGGGACCCAACCCCTTTTCTTATAATCTAAGCAGGTGATCCGGATTAAGTGGATTCTCTGGACAGGAGCACCCACCAGCAATTCGAGGCTACTAGTCCGATCAAAAATCACCTCTTCATAATGCATTCATCTGATTAGATAATGGTTCAGTTCTCGTCGATTTCTCGGTAGGTCAAATTGGACCCTCCCTTTAGAATAGACTAAAGTAGAGTAGGAACAGGTATAAGGTAGATAAGTACCAATCGATAAAAAAAAAAAAAAAAAAAAAGTTAGATAGGAGTGCACACTAATTGGATATCTAATTCCCCAGCTAAAATATTGATCCAGTCTACATTTTGCAGATCAGAAAATTTGTTATCCGAACAAATATTCGCATATTTGGATATTCGAATTTACTGGACTAGCTATATGGGTATTCGATTTGTGTCCGATTCAAAATTAATTTGTGGAAATATTGGGAGAAATTCTTCTAAAATTTGGACTTGAGATGCTGGCAACAATTACCCAAATAGTATGATAAAGCAAATTTGCAATGAAGATCATCACCTTTCATCTATGACTATTGTGATAAATCCACTGTAATTATAAAATAACATAATATTCTAGGTGAGGTATGTATTCTTTTTCATTGTGACAAAAAGATGACATAAATACATAATATTTATAACTAATGTAAGAAAAAAAAAAGATGATGCCAATAGTATCCATGATGAAATTTTGAGGATTTGAAAATTGAGAAAAAACTTAGAGGAAGGACGGAGCCAGATAATCTTAAGGGTGGGCAATTGCTCTCCGTCACGTTTGATGAACTTAGATAAGTAATAGGCTTTAAAGCTTTC